GACCGGTGAAAGAACCGCCGATGTCGGAGTAAACCTTGGGCAAATCCTGGGGCTTGAATGGCCAGCACAATCAAATCGGAGTGAGCCAATACGACGCTGTTGTCTCCCGTTACTCCGACGCCGTAGCGCTCAATGAGATAATCCCGACGAGGCGGTACCGGCTCGCCCACCATCACCCCGTCCGACTGGGCCACGCCGGCGCTCAGCATTCCGCCCAGGATAGCTTCGGCCATGGTGCCGCCGCCGATAAACCCAATGTTCATTCGCTATCCGTCCCGGCAGTTCAGTCGATGGCCCAGGTGTCGGTGATTCCGTCGCCGCGGGCAAACGCCACGGCCATCCGTATGGATTCCACCATCGAGGTGTGGTCGGCCACGTTCTGGCCGGCGATATCGAACGCGGTACCGTGATCTACTGATGTCCGCACGAAAGGCAGGCCCAAGTTGGCGGTAATGCTTTCCTCGAACCCGTAGACCTTGACGGCAATATGACCCTGATCGTGATACATGGCGAGCACCACGTCGTAACGATCGTTGATGGCCTGGTGGTAAATCGCGTCGGCCGGCACGGGGCCCGTGGCGTTGATACCCTCCGTTTTGGCGGCCAGCACCGCAGGTGCAATCTCGTCGGCTTCTTCGTCACCCAACAGGCCGCCGTCGCTGCCATGAGGATTCAACGCCGCGACGCCAATCCGGGGGGTCTCGAATCCCCACTGCCTGAAACTCTGGTCGGTGAGGCGCAGGTAGTCCAGGATGCGGTCTTGCTTCACGTAGTCGCAGGCCACCCGCAGCGAGCGGTGCGTACTCAGGTGAACCACACGCAGGTTTTTGGCCATCAGCATGGTTGCCACCGTCTTGGCGCCGGACAGCTCCTGCAACAGTTCCATGTGGCCGATGGCTTCGTAGCCGGCCATGGCCGCCGCCTCTTTGTTCAACGGCGCGGTTGCCAGTCCATCAACGACGCCCGCCATTGCCAGTTGGCCAGCCTTGCTGACCCATTCCATCGCTGCTTTACCGCAGGCGACGCTGAGTTGGCCAACTGAGATGTCCTCGGGGTTCAGGTTTCCAATGTCCACCACATCTACTACTGACGGGTTTTCGCCCGTCCCGATGGGGTCATCGGTGCGTCTAATGGTCAGGGCCGAGCCAGTGAGGTTTACGGCCTGCTGCATGCGTAGGCATTGCCAACCACCATGGGGCGGCAGGAGGCATAGACACGTGGGTCGGCGAGTGCCTTCACCACTACTTCCGGGCCAATGCCACACGGGTCGCCCATTGTGATGGCTATGGCCGGGCGACTAACGGCGGGGTTTGTATTCTGTGTCACAGTTTGCCTCTCCGGAAAGATCGGGGCGCTCCTACCTACCGTCGATTGATTATAGCACCCCGATTTCAGACAATATATTTGACGAAAATCGCCAAACTGTGTTAAATGCCAGTTGTCATGGCGGGGGAGACAGGATTCGAACCTGCGAAGGGTGACATGAACACCCTTACTCGATCCTAAATCGAGCGCAATCGACCTCTATGCGACTCCCCCGCGATGTCTAACCGGGAAGGGCCTTCTGCAAAGAAGCCCTCCCCGGAAATCTATGTCACTCGCATTTGGTCCAGCCGCAGGAGAAGCAGGTCAGACAACCCTCCTGACTCACCGCGGCGCCGTTGCATTCCGGGCAACGCTGGGCGTAGGTGCCGGGCACGTCGTGGACGCCATTGGAACCGTTGCCGTTGGTTACGCCAACTGGCGTAGCACTTCCCAGCGTTTGTTGTTGAGGCATCCAAGGGCGCACTTCCGGGCCATCACTGCCATAGCCGGGTGCACCGGAAGGCAGGGTCAATTGCACTCCGGCGGCTCCACCGTGCCCCGTGTCGGGTTCCTGTGTGATTCTTTCCAGCACGATGGCAACGGCATCCGGACCGGAGCGCACCAGCGTCCCCTCGTCCCAGGCCGGGCAGCAGGTGATCCCCCGCAGTTGTCGGGTCACTTCTTCGGTCTCGATTCCGGCTCGCAGCGCCAGCGACACCAGACGGGACACTGCCTCCAGCAGAGCGGCGTCGCATCCGCCGGCCTTGCCCATGGTGCCAAACACCTCGAAGGGCGAGTTGTTTTCGTCCAGGTTTACCGTTACGTACATGTTGCCGTGCCCGGTGCGGACCCGCTCCGTGATGCCCTGGGTCCGACGGGGACGTTCGCGGGGGATCCGTGGCCCCGGCACCTCAATGGTTCTTACATCGGGGGCCCCGCCAGCCTGCGTTCCCGCCGTGGCGCCGGTACTCAACACCTGCTCGGATTTGCTGCCATCGCGGTAAACCGTGATTCCCTTGCAGCCCAGCTCGTAGGCCGCGCGGTATGCTTCCGCCACGTCATCAACCGTTGCGTCGTGGGGGAAGTTGATGGTTTTGGACACGGCGTTGTCGGTATAAGTCTGGAAGGCCGCCTGCATCTCCGAACGTGCCATTGAGGATTGATGTCGTGGGAGACCCGGAACACAGTCTTTACCCAGCCGGGCACCGCCAGGCCGTCCAGCGAGCCGCTGGCAGCCAGTTGCTCCATCAGCTCAGGCGAATAGAAACCCTCGTGGCGGGCAACGGCTTCAAAGTACGTGTTTCCTTCTACCAGACGCGTATTGTCCATTACGTTGCGGACATAGGACAACGCGAACAGTGGCTCGATCCCGCTGGACGCGCCGGCGATGATGCTGATGGTTCCGGTTGGGGCAATGGTTACTGGCGCGGAGTTTCGCATCGGTCGCGACCCGGGCCCGTCGTTGTACACGCTGAATTCCCATTCCGGGAACACACCACGGCGCATCGCCAACTCGCCGGATGCCCGGTAAGTCTCCTGCTGGATACGACGCATTACCTCTTTGGCCAACTCCAGGGCTTCCTCACTGTCGTAGGGGACGCCGAGTTGGATCAGCAAATCTGACCAGCCCATGACCCCGAGACCGATGCGCCGGGTTTTGCGGCTCATCTCGGCAATTTCCGGGATGGGGTAATCGTTCATGTCAATAACGCAGTCGAGCAGGTGCACGGCAGCGGTGATCACCTCGGCCATGCGCTGCCAGTCCATTTCCACGTCATCATCGGTGTAACGAACCATTCGCGCCAGATTCAGCGAGCCGAGGTTGCAAGATTCATACGGAAGCAACGGTTGTTCGCCGCAGGGGTTGGTCGACTCAATGTCGCCGAGCTGCGGGTTCGGATTGTCCCGGTTGATGCGATCCAGGAATACGATGCCGGGGTCTCCGGTGCGCCAGGCCAGCTCGGTCATGCTGGTAAACACATCGCGGGCGTTGAGTTGGCCGACGATGGCGTCAGTCCTTGGGTTGACGAGGTCGTAGTCCTCGCCGTTCTGTACCTTCTGCATGAACTCTTCGGTAACGGCCACCGAGATGTTGAAATTGCTCAAGTGCTGTCCGTCTGCCTTGGCGGTAATAAACGCCATGATGTCCGGATGCGTTACGTGCAATATTCCCATGTTGGCGCCGCGCCGGGTACCGCCCTGCTTGACCACATCGGTGGCAGCGTCAAAGGCGTTGATGAAGCTGACCGGGCCGGAGGCGACACCACCGGTAGAACCAACAACATCCCCCTCCGGGCGCAACCGTGAAAAGGCAAAACCGGTCCCGCCACCACTCTTATGGATGAGGGCGGTCTGCTTTACCTTGGTAAAAATTGAGTCCAGCGAATCTTCCACCGGCAACACGAAGCAGGCCGACAGTTGCTGCAACTCCCGTCCCGCGTTCATCAGCGTTGGCGAGTTGGGCAAGAACTCCAGCCGTTGCATTATTTCGTAGAAACGCCGCTCGGTGTCTTGCCGTTCCGTATTGGAAACGCCGTAGAGCAGATCAGACTCGGACAGGTTGTGTGCCACGCGACGGAACATCCCATCTGGGTCTTCAGATGTTGCCACTGTTCCCGGGGTCTTTGTGACACCTAGCGAGCGTCGTTTCACATCACAGCACCACCCGGGTCGTGTGCGGTAAGTTCGCCAGTCCGTTGGTTATATGAAGCGGCAATGCCGGCCGCGACCATCCCAAAACCCACACAAACCTGCATCCGGATCCGTTCTCCCCCCCCCCCCCCCCCACCCCCCCCCCCCCTGACCACACAAAAACGGCAGACGCCGATTCGCTAATTAATCCTGTACTTCCTGCTTGACCACAACACCCAACAACCCACAACACCACCCTCCCACACCTTCCCCCCCCATCCAAAATCACTCAAATTTTCAAATAAATGTCCCAGATTTGCGTTATAAACCTGAAACGTTATGTTAATGCATGCGGGCAATCAATTGCCACACTGATCCACGTTTTGTACCAATATGACGCTATGGGGCGCCAATGCGGTCGGGTCGTTTGATCCCCGCCAGCCCTGGTCGTAACGTCCAGATCAAATCGTAGTCCCTTGTAGAAATATAGGACTGGAACTTCCCGCACCGGACGCAAGTCGAACCCAGTCAGCGAGGCCGCGACGTCTTGCACGCGCCCCATCGCCCCGGATGCGCTAGGTGCTCGCCGGGTAACCCGACGCACGACCCCGGACGTCATACGGATACCCAGTCCAGTCAGCGTCTCAGCGACCACATCGGCGAAATCTTTCAACGCGCCATCGGCTACCGGGTGGTTGGCGCCGAGTCGCATGGTGAATCCGTTGCCAGTTCTCCGGCACGAGACCACCGGGAACACCGACTTGAGCCGGTCGACGATCTGTGATTCATTACCTTCCGGGCATGAATCACAATTGATATTCACGTTGTACTGAACCATTTGTTGCATTTCTGTAGTGCTCCAGAGCGCTTGGCTCCTTGGGGTCAATTTCGGCGCTATCGCGAAACCTTGCCGTGCTGCGAGTAGGCTCTCAGCAGGCCGGGATAAGCAGGCTCGGTTTGCGTTTGAGAGCCATACGAACCCCGGCTAATAGTCGGCTTTATCTGGCTTATGCGATAAGGTCTTCTCCCTCGCTGGAAATCGGCAAAGCTGCCCAGCAACTTACCAAACACGCCCTGGATTCCCGGGCGATGTCGTCCTGCAATTCGGCGAAGGGGTTTGGAATCCACGAGCCACCAATGTCCGCATCGTTGACCATCCAGTCTGACGGGACCCACATCTTCCGCAGCATATCCTCCATATCGTGGACCCGGTTGTTGTGCGTCAACAGCCTGGTTAGGGCGGAGTACTGAACGCTGCTGCTCATAATGGTGTTGAACACCTCCAGTCTAGTGATTTGCGATTGGCGAGCAAGTGGGTTCATTTTGATCAACGGCGCACTGCGATGGTGGCTACGCAGTTGCGCCCAGAGTCGCGAAGTTTATTGAACGGCGCACGCCGCTACTTGGCAGGTGGTGGTGTCGATCGGCCGCGGCGACCAGCGGACGGGCGGCGGGTTCGCCGGGTGGTTACGGCGGCGATGCCCATCAATGGTTCGGGCTGTCCGAGGCGCACGGACCTGGCCTGTTCTTCGAAATCAGCGGCGCTCTGGAAGTCGTGATATACGGATGCGTAACGCACGTATGCCACTTCATCCAACAGCCGCAAGCGTTCCAGAACCATCAAACCAAGGTCGCGTGACTTCACGATGCCGCTGCCAATCCGCTGCAATTCAGCCTCAATATCGTCGGCGAGACGATCGAGCTCGCGCTGCGGGATAGGGCGGCGGGTGCACGCCATATTGATGCCGGTCAGCAACTTGTCCCGGCTGAAATCCTGCCGTCGGCCGTCGCGTTTGTCGACTTGCAACGTAGGGATTCTGACCAGTTCGTGGGTGGTGAAGCGATTTCCACAAGCCAGGCATTCACGGCGGCGGCGGATGCCGGTATCGGTTTCCCGGGAATCCGTAACCTTGCTCTGGTTTTGCTCGCACTGAGGGCATTTCATAAATTAATCCAAATTTGGTTGCTTTCTCAAATAATTCTTGGGATTAGCACATATAGTGCTTGCGATTGAATTCACCACAATTTGTTGTGGTGCGGAGTATAGCCTAACCGCCAGCGAAGATTCAATTAAGCAGCGGATGCAAGTTTCAACGATTTTCATGCGTTTCCGAACATCCATGCCCTCTCACGAAGATTTCCTACGGCGCGGCGAAACCTGTGGTGGTATCCGACCCAACAAAAACCCCCTTCCATGATGGAAGGGGGCTGGAGAACCAGGAATGTACGTATCAGGATTTACCGATAGAAACCCCGTCGGTTCTGACGTTGTTGAAGGAACGTGGGCAGTTCGTAATCCCGCCGGTCCGGGACGTCCATTTCGCCGAGCAACTTGGCGATGTCGTCCTCGGGTTGCTGCGTTACCTCTGGAAAGTCGGCGGCCACCATGGTCATTTTCACTTCGTCATCCAGCCGAGCGTCCCGGCTGGTGCCGAAAATGATGTTTGCGTTGGGGTCGGCCAGGTCTTCCACCACTCCGGCTGCTTCCTGGACTTCCTGCAGCGACATACCATTGCCGCCGGTGAGCACGAACAGGATGCGCCGGGAACCCTCCAGCGAAATATCCAGCAAGGGGCTTTCGGTGCACTGCCGGGCCGCTTCCCGAGCCCGTCCCGGGCCACGACCACGGCCAATGGACAGCCATGCTTGCCCGGCGCCGGCCAATATGGTTTTGACATCAGCAAAGTCCACGTTGATCTCACCCGGCACCGTTACAACCTCCGCGATGGCGGTGATGCCCTGGTGCAGCACCGAATCCGCCAGTTTCAGGGCGTCTTCCCACGTGTAGGAATCGGCCTGCTCGTCGTTGATGGCAAGCAAGCGGTCGTTGGGTATGACAATCATGGTGTCCACGTTGTCGCGCAGCTTTTCCAGACCTTCCTCGGCGTTGCGACGGCGGGTCTGAGCTTCAAACGTAAAAGGCCGGCTGACCACAGCTACGGTCAGTGCTCCGGATTCTTTGGCAATCTGTGCCACCACGGGCGCTGCGCCGGTGCCGGTGCCACCGCCCATGCCTACCGCTAGAAACACCATGTCGGCGCCCCGCACCGCCTGTTCGATATCGCCGCGGGCTTCCTCGGCCGCCTGCCGGCCAAGCTCGGGTTGCGCTCCCGCGCCCAGCCCCCGAGTAAGGTTGCGGCCCAGCGCGATGCGATAGTGCACGTCACAGCGGGACAGATGCTGTGCGTCGGTGTTGAGGGCATAGTATTCAACGACGGGCAACTTTTCTTTGTACATGCGGCTGACTGCGTTGCAGCCGCCACCGCCAACACCAAATACTTTGATCAGGGGGACGCCGCGGCCAATTTCAGGAATCATGCCTTCGCCTTCTTCAAAGCCACCAGTGGGCTCCCAGGAAGCGGAATTATCTGGAAATATCATCGTGGTTGTTCCTCCTGCTGTTATTGGGTTTCAAAAATCGACTTTCCGTTTGCAATTGGCTTGTTGGCAACAGTCGATTCCCAGCGCGTCGTAATATTCGCGGGTCGGTCTGATACCAGGGATTTCTTAGTCGCGCTCCTGCTGGCGCGTCCCGGATCGCGAGAATGGACGGCGCAGCAAAGATCCCGGTGACCAGTTCCGATCTCCCTCTCCCCGGACTCGGCCCCGATCAGGCTGGTTTCGATGCTTCACCGCCCATTGCAGCACGCCTAAAGCCGCCGCGTATTCCGGTTGGCGTAGGGATTCGGGTAGGCCGGCGTACCATAGAGGCACACCAATCCGAACCTGCGTTCCCAGTCCTCGTGCGGTCATTTCGGCGAAACCCGGCATCCTGGATCCGCCACCGGTCAGCACTACGCCACCGGCCAGAGGAGTCCCTGTGTCGGCCTGGGACAATTCCTGCTGAATCAGTTTCAGCATTTGCAGCGAGCGCAGGTAAAGCGGCTCGCAGAGTTCTCGCCGCGACACGATGCGTTTGGGGTGAACCTGCGTCGCCGGCATGATTATTTCGTCGGTGGACGGTATGGCCTCTGGTAGGACGTGGCCGCGCTCGATTTTCAGTTCTTCGGCCATTTGGTAGGGCGCTCGTAGGGCAATGGCCATGTCGCGGGTTAACTGGTTGCCGCCGACGGGGATGACCGACGAGAAGCAAGGGGTTCCTTCCCGATAGCACGCAATTTTTATGGTGCCCGCCCCAATGTCGATGGCGACGACACCCATCTCGCGCTCGTCCGCAGTCAATATCCCCTCGCCCGAGGCCAGGGCATGGGCCACCAGGCCTTCGACACGCAATTTAGACGTTTGCAACGCCCGTACTGTGTTGCCCATGGGTACCGACTTGCCGCGCACGATATGTGCGTCGACCTGCAATTCGTTGGTGTGCAGCCCGGTCGGGTTGCGAACCCCAGCCATCCCATCCAGCCGATAGCGCATCGGGATGATGTGCAGAACCTGTTCAGTGCGACTGTTAACCTGTTGCTGCAACATTCCCGACGAACCGCCGATCAACTCCCGCAGGTGCTGTTCCGTTACGGTCAATAGTTCATTGCCATCGCTGAGCAACTCGGACGAGTTCTCACTGACCAGGTGGTCGCCATTCACTACGGCAAAAAAATCGCTGACCGGGTTTCGACCGACGTAACGGAGGCATTCATTCAGGCTGTCGCGGACGGACTCCTTGACTTCACCCAGGTCGTCGATGGTTCCCTGTCGCACCCCAACGGATGGCGCGGTGCCGGTTCCCAACGGTTTCAGCTCGCCCTCTGGCCCCAGCCGCGCCACGATGGAAAAGACTTTGCTGGTGCCGATGTCGATGGCGGCGTAAATAGGTTCCCTGGCCATTGATCAGTTCCTTCCTTTGATGGGTGAAAGTAGAGCGATGAGGTTGTCCGATTCTGCGTTGCGCCACTTAATTCGGAAGCGTTATTCAGATGCGTTCAACGACCCGAAGCCGGGCGCTGCGGCTCCGTGGGTTGGCGGCAATTTCTGCGGTGGACGGTCGAATCACACGGCGCCGGATCGTTCGTAATGTCGGTTCGTGTTCGCATACACAAACGGGGAGTTCGGGAGGGCATATGCAGGTTGCCGTCTCTCGTTCAACCCATCCTTTGACGATGCGATCTTCGAGACTGTGATAGCTGATGACAACGCAGCGGCCGCCAGAGGCGAGGAAACCGGGGACCGCCGTCAAACCATCTTGAAGATGCTCCAGCTCCCGATTTACCGCGATGCGCAGCGCCTGGAAGGTGCGGGTGGCCGGATGGCGGCCTCGCCTTGGCCCGCCGATCGCGCGGACCACTACATCGGCCAGCTGCGCCGTGGTCGTAATGGGACGGTTGGCAACGATGCTTCGTGCGATTGCCCGGCTGCGGCGTTCCTCTCCGAACTGGTAAATAACGTTGGCCAGTTCCACTTCCTCGGCCGCATTCACGATGTCAGCGGCCGATTCACCGGAGGTGTCATACCGCATATCCAGCGCTTCGTTGGTTTGAAAAGAAAGACCATATCCGTTGCCGCCAATTTGTCTGGACGAGAATCCCAAATCCAGCAGTATGCCGGTGACCGAATCGACGCCGTGGTCAGCCGCAATCTGTACCATTGACGAATAATTTCCGTGGACGGTGGTTACACGGTCGCCGTATAACTCGAGGCGACGGCGGGCAGCCGCCAACGACCGAGGGTCACGGTCAATGCCCAGCACGTAACCGGCCGGTTCGGACGACTCCAGCAACGCCAGAGCGTGTCCACCTTCGCCCAGCGTCCCGTCGACATACACGCCTCCGGCTCGAACGGCCAGCATCTCCATCGCCTCAGTAACCATGACCGGGCGGTGCAAAAACTCCCCCGCAGGGCCAACGTCGGTTTCGACGTCTCGGCGTGCCGGGTCGACATGCACTGGATCCGATGGTGCCGAATCGCGTTGGGATGGACCGATGAACGGTGAGTCGTAAGAAGCTACCGGCCTGAACCCAGACAAAGCTGTAGTTGGCGTCATGATTGCTGCCATTCCCATCGGCACGGTTCAGGTTGCACCCGGAGACCATGCGCCCTTGCACTCCTGATTGCCGGCACGCAGGTGGAGGGCGCAGCCTTGGCTATGGCTATGTCCGGCGGCGACGGTCGCAACTGGTATTCCCCTCTAAACGCGGTTTGGATGGCCGTACAGGAAGTTGCCTGCCGGTTTACGTCTCGCAATTTAGCAAAGGCATGGGCGGTTGCGCCTGCTACTCAAAATGCACAGTTCGGCGATTTTTTCAAAAACCTAATGTTGGTGCCGATAAAAAATTGGTCCCAACCGGTGAACCGATGGAAACGCTTGAAGCCGGGAATCTTCCAGGAGCGGTGGCGCAGCCCCGCGAACCGGACTGGCCGGCGGTTGCCCGCGTCGCTCAATGCGTCGGGTTTCGCCGTATTCGTTCGGTATGCTATACTCTCGGCACGAACCGGGCAGGCCGGCATCGACCGCCCTGCTCGGCGTTTGCTGTAACCCCAATTGGCGTTTTAGGAGTGTATCGACGGTGAAGGTCACCAGGGATAACGCATCACCCATCGAACTGACGCTCACGGTGGAACTAGCCGAGGAGGACGAGAACCCGTTTATCGACCGTTCCTATCGGCGCACCGTGTCGCGAGTTAACATTCCTGGCTTCCGCCGGGGGAAGGCTCCTCGCCACATCGTTGAGCGAATGCTGGGCCGACCCACGTTGCTCCAGGAAGCGCTCGATTTCATGGTGCCCGAAACGCTGGACCAGGTGCTGCGTGAACAGGAAGTTGAGGCATTCGCCGAACCCAGCATCGAAATAACTGACCTGGAACCGGTTTCCTTCACGGCCACCATTCCCCTTGAACCCACCGTAGACCTCGGAGACTACCTATCGATTCGCGTCGAATCAGATACCACGGAAGTAATCGATGAGGACGTTGACCGCGTGATCGAACGTATCCAGCAGGAGCAGGCCGTCTGGGAGCCCGTGGAACGCGCGGTAGAGTACGGGGATCGTTTGAACCTCAATGTGCGCGGCACCATGGAAGATGAAACCGTGGTGGAAGACGACGACGTTGAGTACGTGCCCGAAGAAGCAAACGTACTTCCCTTCCCGGGCTTCGCACCCAACCTGTTGGGTATGGTTGAGGAAGAGGAGCGCGAATTCATGGTAACGATTCCCGAGGACTACCCCCGGGAACAGTATGCCGGCAAAGACGTTCAATTCCAGGTGACCGTGCTCTCCGTCAAAGAGAAGAACCTGCCCGACCTTGATGACGAATTCGCCAAATCCATCGGTGAAGGGTTCGACGATCTGGAAGCTTTGCGCGCCAACATCCTGGAATCGTTGACCTCCCAGGCCGAATCCGCCGCCCGTAACCAGTTGGAACAACAAAGCCTGGAAGCCTTGTGCGACGCGGCCGTAGTCAACGCCTCTCCAATACTGTTCGAGCGAGAGTTGGAATCGATGCAGGAAGAGCGCGACCGGATGCTGCGGCAACAAAACCTGGACCTGACAACCTACCTGCGGTTCCTGGGCAAATCGCTCGAAGAATTCCGGGAAGAAATGCGCCCCAACGCCGAACGCCGACTGACTGGCGCCCTGGTGATGCGCAAACTGGCCCAAGTCGAAGAAATCGAAATCTCAGATGAAGACGTGCAATCCGAAACCGACCGTCTGCTGGGATTGTCCAGCGAGGGTGCGGAACAGGACAATCTGGAGCAGCTGCGCGAATACCTTGGGATGGAATCCACTCGAGAAGGTATCCGCGGGTCGCTCCATAGCCGGCGCGTCATGGAACGGTTGACGGAAATCACCCAGGGGAACCTAGACTCCGGCGACGAATCCGATGACCCAGTCGCCGGGGCAGCAGGAGAGCCTACCGCCGAGGCTATCGTAGAAACCGAGTCCGACGGTGCGGCCGACGAAGCCATTGCCGACGAAGCCATTGCTGCCGATGCGGTTGCTGCCGATGATGAAGAAGAAACCCGAGACTAACCAAACTCCGTTGTACTTCAGGAGATCAACCAGATGTTGAATGACCAAATTCCCTCGGGCTTGGGACTGCCTTCCAACATGCTACCGGGGATCATCAGACCTACCAGGGAGGGCGAGCGCGCCTTCAATCCTTACTCCCTGTTATTGCAGGCTCGCATCATTTATCTGGGCACCGCCGTAGATGATGAAGTGTCCAATGCCATCGTGTCTCAGTTGCTCTATCTTGGTTGGGAAGATTCCGAAGCGGACATCCTGATGTACGTTAACTCGCCAGGCGGATCCGTGCTGGACGGTATGGCGATATACGACACGATGCAGCTGATCAAGCCGGACGTTTCGACCGTTTGCTTGGGAAAAGCCGCTAGCATGGGGGCAGTGATCCTGTCCGGTGGAACCAAGGGCAAGCGGTACTGTACAGCAAACTCTACTGTGTTGATTCACCAGGTGATGGGCGGCATACAGGTTCGGCCTCCGACATCGAAATTACCGCTCAGGAAATTCTGCGCCTGCGCCAACGCCTGAATACGATTCTGTCCGACAATTGCGGTCAGCCGTTCGACAAGGTTTCGCGCGACTCCGACCGGGACTATTGGATGGATGCCGAGAGTGCAGTCCAGTACGGTATTGTCGACCACGTACTGACGGAATTACCGGACTCGTTGATTAAATCCGCCGCCTAAGTCAATCTTTGCAATTCAGGACCGTTGGCGTCCAAGTATTAGGAGACCGCAATGGTTATGCCCTTTCAAGATTCTCCCCTGCTGCAACCCAGCAACATTGTCCCCATGGTCATCGAATCGGGCCCCCGGGGTGAACGCGCCTTCGACATCTATTCGCTGCTGCTGCGGGAACGGATAATCTACCTGGGCACTCCGATTACTGATCAGGTTGCCAACGTCATCATTGCTCAATTGCTGTACCTGGAACGCGAAGACCGGGACCGGGACATTAGTATGTATATCAACAGCCCCGGCGGATACATCGCCTCGGGGCTCGCGATCCTGGACACGGTGAAGCTGATCAATTCGGAAGTGTCCACCATTTGCGTCGGCACCGCCGCCAGCATGGCGACCGTTCTGCTTGCCAACGGCGCCAAAGGCAAACGATACTGCCTGCCCAACTCGACTATCCATCTGCACCAGCCCAACGTGGGCAGCTTCCAGGGCCAAGCGGCTGACATCGAAATTCAGGCTCGCGAGATCGTGCGGCTCAAAGAGCGGCTCAACAAGATCCTTTCCGACGCCACGGGCCAGTCGTTCGAAAAGATCGCTGATGACACTGACCGCGACTTTTTCCTGACTTCCGATGAAGCCATTGAGTACGGGCTCGTGGATGAGATTCTGGGCGCGCCGATTGAGGAAGTCACAGCCGAAGCTGCCTAAACACCTTATCGCCACTCGTAACTCCGGAGGGACATTGCGGAATGAGCACCAGCAACCGCAGCGCTAACCGCAACTCCCAACGGTGCGCTTTTTGCGGATCCTCATACCCACAGGGGCGGTTGATGCGACCACCCGGGCAACCTCGGGGCGGTATCTGTTTTGATTGCATCCGGGAATTGGCCGCCCACGTAGCCGAACGGAGTAACAAGAAACGCCCGGCTGCCGAGGAAAAGCGCATCCAGTCCAGAGACGACCGCGTTGAACTGACTGCCAACTCTGCCGACCGGCCCGAAGCAGCGTCACCGACCCTGGTGCCGCGCCAAATCTATGCCCACCTCGACGCATACGTCATTGGCCAGGAGAGAGCCAAAAAGACGCTGTCGGTTGCGGTTATAACCATTTCAAACGGATTCGTAGCGAAGCGGCAAACCCTGGAATCGAGGTTCAGAAGTCCAACATTCTGTTGATTGGGCCGACTGGATCCGGAAAAACTCTGTTGGCCGAAACGCTGGCTCGCACGCTGGATGTACCCTTCGCCATCTGCGACGCCACATCTCTGACCGAATCGGGATATGTGGGCGAGGATGTCGAAAATATCCTGTTGCGGCTGATTCAGGCTGCCGACTGGGACATCTCCCGGGCGGAACATGGGATCATCTACATTGACGAACTCGATAAAATCGCCCGTAAAGAAGGCGTGAATCGCTCAATAACCCGCGACGTCGCCGGCGAAGGCGTGCAGCAGGAATTGCTGAAAATCATCGAGGGCTGCGTCGCTAATGTTCCCCCCCAGGGTGGCCGCAAGCATCCCCATCAGGAGATGTTGCAGATCAATACCCGCAACATCCTTTTCATTTGCGGCGGCGCTTTTGAAGGATTGCAGGAGATCACGTCGCGACGGCTTTCCATTGGCTCGAACATGGGATTTCTGGCCCGCAACCCGCGCCGAAACGACAACGCCGACCCGTCAACCACCGCACCGGAAAAATTGACCCCTGAAGATTTTGCTGGAATTCGGGTTCATCCCCGAATTGGTGGGGCGTTTGCCGGTGGTAACTTCCCTTCAACCCTTGGACCGTGATGCTCTGGTCAGGGTTTTGGTGGAGCCGAAAAACGCAATCGTCAAACAATATCAGCAGCTTTTCCGATTGGACGGGGTGCAGCTGGAATTCAGCGACGATGCCATGGTAGCCGCCGCTGAGCGGGCGCTGGCATACCAAACCGGCGCTCGCGTACTGCGCCATATCGTGGAGGGCGCGTTGCTTGACGTGATGTACGAGCTGCCTTCCCTCACCGACATCACCCGTTGCGTCGTGCACAGCGATGCTATCACCGGCGACGCTTCCCCGCGTCTGTACAGACGCGGCGGGGGCAGGTACGTAACGCTTAAAACTGCTCTGGCGCAGGCGGCGGCTGAACCCCAGAAGAAAACCGCTTAATCACGCCGTTTCGGCAGCGATCTCGCTTCTATTTCGTCGGTCAACGGCAGACCCTGACGGTACATGTACGCCAGTGGTTCTCCGTCTCCATCCAGCGCTTCCCCTGGGCGCACCTGGAGCCGTCGGTCGGCCACCGCCCGCAACGTAGCTAACAGCAAATGTGGTTCGCGGCGGTAACCTTCCTCACGGATGCGCCGAAACAGGGCGTTGTCCTCGCCCTCGGCAGCTTGCAACTCCTTAATGCCGCTATCGGTCACTGCTTCCCAGTCGGCGTCGAATTCGCGCCCGATGATCGGCAACGAGCAATGGGACAACACCGGCCCCCGGTCGACCTGTTCGGTGGCCAGGTGGATCATCGCTCCGGTACGTGTGGCCCCGGATTCAATCAACTGCCAGATTACCGATTGCCAGGTTCCGGTGGGACCGTCGGGCAATGCACCATGCAAATTGAGCAACGGATAGCGCCGGCACATCTCGGCGCCAAATATCAACATATACCCGGCAAGGACGCACACGTCTGGTTGATAAGGCTCCAACAACCGCATCGCCTTTCGGTCGAATCCGGCGCGGTGCCGATTCATCCCGCCACCGCCGTGCTCCCGGCGATACCTGGTGGAAGATAGGGTAGCCAGCGGAATCCCGTATTGCTGAACCAGCCGGAAAAACTCATCCGACCCTGCAGCTTCGCCGGGCTCCCGGTTGCTGAACACGAAGTCGATGGTTGCATCCAGCCTGCGGTCCGCGATGGCCTGGCACACGAAATTGAGCAACCCGCGCGAGCCTTCGCCCCGCCCGGTGGAAAACCAGCCTACGCGCAGCACGTGGTTGTCACGACTCGCCACTGAACTTCAGAATGGAAGGTCGTCGTCATCTTCAAATAGCGACGGGTCATCCGGTTCCGGAGCCGGAGGAATCGACCAGTCGTCGCTAGCGCTGCTGGCGGGGGCGCTAGCGGTCGAACGGCCGTCATCAGGTTCGCCAACCTGGGTAATCCGCAATTCTGTCTCTGTGAGCAGTTGCTGACATCTGTGCGCCAGCTCCATGCCTTGCACATACAGACGTTCCGAATCGGTAAGCGACAGTTCGCCCTGCTCCAGCTGAGACACGGTTTCTTCCAGGCGGCGGTACACCTCTTCAAAGGGCTGGGCCGCCAATTCAGCATGCCATGCGTCGGTAATCGGTTCCGTCATTGAATGCATCGACTCAGCGGCACGGGTCAGAGCAGCGGCCGCATGGCTGGAGGAGGCGCCGGAGCAGCCTTGCGGCCCCGACGAGCTTGACGTCGGGGAGCGACGGGGCCGGGTTCTGGCAACAGTGCATCGTCGTCGGCATGTACATCCGGTAGGTTCGGTTCGATGTGGCTCACTGCCGGCGCTGGTTCCTGGCGACTTTGAGCAATGTGGTCGGCCTGACTCCCGGCAGTCGCTGCCAAGACCCCGCCAGCGACAGTAATGTCGAGCGGGTCGCCGTCTGCTACCAGCTGAGGGTGGGTGATTATGGTGCCGTCTGCCGACCGGTTGACCACTGCATAACCGCGACGCAATGTTGCAGCAGGCTCCAACGCGGTGAGTCGGGCGTGCAGCATCGAAACGTCGCGTTTGAGATAGTCGTTGCGCAGCAATACTCGGGTTGCTGCCCTGGTTTGCAAATCGTCGACCTGTCGTTTCATGAGTCCGACATCCGGGGCGCGTCGCTTGAGACGTTGCCACAACCTTTCCACGCCGTTACGGTGCTTGGTCACTACTGAGTTCATGGCGTAGGCAGCCTGCTGTCGTCCGGAGTGAACGTTGGCCATCAATTGCCTGGAGTCGGGCGTAACCAGTTCGGCCGCGGCGGATGGAGTGGGCGCGCGTTGATCTGCCACGTCGTCAGCGATGGTGTAATCCGTTTCGTGGCCAACGCCGGAGACTACCGGAACTTTGCTCGCAAATATGGCGCGGGCTACCTCCTCGGAGTTGAAACACCACAGGTCTTCCAGCGACCCGCCGCCACGGGCAACGATAATCACGTCAACCATCGACTCGGTGTTGAGCCTGGTGATGGCGGAGGCAATTTGGCCGGCGGCTGCCTCGCCTTGTACGGCGGATGGACACAGTCGCAATTGGGTCAACGGGTAACGGCGGCGGACCACGTTTTGTATGTCTTGCCATACGGCTCCGCTTGGAGAAGTTACAACGCCCACCATCCGGGGGAATAGCGGCAGCGGGCGTTTTCGAGACGCGTCAAACAACCCTTCCGATTGCAGCGCCTGGCGCAGACGGGCTAACTCCAGAGCCAGGGCTCCTTCCCCGACTGGCAAGGCAGCGACGACCTGCAGGTTGGCCTCCCCTGACGGCGGATAGAAAGTGAACGTCCCGCCGGCCAATATTTCTTGACCCTCGTCCAGGTATTCCTGACCGGAACGGCCCCTGAACATCACACAGCGGATGCTGCTGCCATCGCCGCGCAAGGTGAAATACGAGTGCCCCGACGCTACCGTCCGCAGGTTGGCCACCTCGCCCTGCACAGTCAAACTGGACAGCAGTGAATCTGACTCAAGTTTTTCCTTGAGATACACACCCACCTGGGCGACGGAGTAAACGGTCGGCGAGAGCATCAGCGCCGCAATGCGTGGCAGGTCACCGAATCTCTGGTCTATGACACGCGTTCGGAATATGAACCGTTACGAGTGTCGACTCGAACCACTGTTCCCGGCGTTATGAACATGGGCACGGTAATGCGCAAGCCGGTTTCCAGCGTGGCGGGTTTGTTGCCGCCTTGCGCTGTATCACCCCGAAACGCCGGTGGCGTATCAACAACTTTCCAGATCCACGTGGATGGGGAGGTTTACGTTTATGGCTGAACCCTTGTAGAACACCACCTCAACCATCATGCTCTCTTTGAGATAACCCAAAGAACTACCCAATTGTGCCTCGGTCAATTCGTGTTGATCGAAGGTTTCCTGATCCATAAAGAAATAATGCGAACCGTCGGTATACAGGTATTGCGTGTCCCGAGCATCGATTTCGGCCAGGCTGAATGCGGTGTCATAGCGCTGGAAGGTCCGCTCTATCACTGCCCCGCTGATGAGGTTGCGCATTTTGATGCGGGTAACGGGTGCGCGTTGCTGCATCTTATGGCGCTCGTAATCCATCACCTGCCAGGGTTGGTTTTCCAGTTCGATCACCATGCCCTTGTTGAGGTCGCTAAAGTTGAGGCTCATGTCGGTGCTCCCATAGGCGGATTACCCGGACGCCGGTAATCAGGCATGACGCGCGCGAAAATAGTGGGTGCGTGAAAGTTCGCCCGGGACGTTATGACGCTTCGTCGGCGATGATTCCAGCCAAGGCTCCCACAGCAGCAGTATAGCCTCTCCACCCTAGACCGGCAATCTGGCCTCGCACTGTGTCTGCCAGAACGGAGCGCCGCCGCCATTCTTCGCGGGCGTGAATATTGCTGAGATGCACCTCGATCACGGGCACACCAGCATCGGTCAAAGAATCTTTTAGCGACAAACCGTAGTGAGTTAAGGCGCCAGCATTCACCACGACGCCGTCGATGTCCCCGCGTTGCGCTTGCAAACAATCGATGAGCTCGCCCTCGTGGTTGGACTGGAAACACTCCACATCGACCCCGTGCGCGTCGGCGGCTTCGGCGATACGCTGATCGATGTCCACCAGGGTCAGGGTGCCGTAGTGCCCGGGGTCCCGTTGGCCCAGCATGTTCAGGTTGGGACCGTGCAATACCAGAATCTTGGTCACATTGACGCTCTCAGTGGCGATGATCTTGGTGGATGTTCTTGGTGAAGGAACAACCGGGTGGTTAGATCAGATCGGATCCGTAGCCTGTGAGTCGACAACTGCCACGCCGTCTGACGCTACGTCTGCACCGCCAGAACCTTCGGACAGGGGGTGAAAGTTCAGGTACGCACGCCGCGCCTCCTGCTTGCTGATGTGGGTATAGATTTGCGTGGTAGACACATTGCTGTGTCCAAGCAGCTCCTGAATCACCCGCAGGTCCGCATCCCCTTCCAGCATATGGCTGGCGAAGCTATGGCGCAGCGTGTGCGTATGGATGCCAGCTTTGAGTCCGGCGCGGGCGGCGTATCCACGCACTATCTTTTCGATGCTGCGCCGCGACAACCGATTTCCGTAACGATTGACGAAGAGCGGATTGGTTCTGGCGCTACTTGCGGTCAGGTGGGGACGGCCATCTTGCAGATAGTTTCTCAGAGCGACCGCAGCCGGCTCGCCGAACAACGTCCAACGTTCTTTATCGCCCTTGCCGCGCACCAGAATCTCGTGCCGCTCCGGATAAACATCGTCCACGTTCATGCCTTCGATCTCGGCCAGCCGAACGCCACACGCGTACAACACTTCCAGAATGGCCTTATCGCGCAGACCCAGGGGCGAGCTGTCGTCCGGAGCCGCCAATAACCGCACCGCTTCGTTCTTGCCCAAGAACGATGGCAGCGGTTTTTCAACCTTGATGGGGAAAGACCGGGCGGATGGTACCGGGGTTGTGACGAACCAACCCTCCTGAACCAGGAATTTATAGAATGTGCGCAACGCAGTTAGCTTGCGGACAACGCTAACCCGAGCGTAACCAGCGGGTACATTGCCGTCGGTTCTGCCCGCCGTGGCCAGATGTGCAACGTAACCGCGCACGAGCTGCCGGTCCATGTCCCGCAACGACAAGCCTTCCTTCCGGCAGTAAGCCAGATAGCTCGCCAGGTCGGCCAGATAGATGCGACGCGTGTTGGAGGATAGCCGCCGTTGACCCGTCAAGTAACGATCGTAACGGGCCAACAGTTCCGGCGTGGCGGGGCACAGTCGCCACACGCCGGGTTTGATCCCGGATCAATTGCGGTGCTAGTGGCCAACAGTTATTAACTCCGCCGCTTCGGTTGGCGCGTCAGTGCCGTCCGTCGGTGGATCGCCTTTCCACTTGCAAGCGGCGTCTACGCAGGCAGCCTGGCCCTTGGCGGCCGCTACCAACATCCCTTCACAAACTGGGCACTTGCTGGTTAGCGGTTGCGTGTTGACCAGGAAATCGCAATCAGGGTAATTGGCGCAGCCCCAGAATGGCCGACGCGATTTACGAGACCGGCGTTCCACCAGGTCTCCTCCGCATTTTGGACATGGCACGCCGCTCTTTTTTACCAGATTGCGGCGGTTTTCACAGGGATTCTCATCCGCGTTGTAGCCGGTGCAGGCCAGGAACCTGCCGTAGCGCCCGACTTTGATCACCATAGGCCGTTCGCATTTTTCGCAATTTCGTCGGTTTCTTCCTCGAATGGCCGGTCCGGGTTGTCGCCCATGTCTTTGGTATTCCGGCATTTCGGATATCCGGTACAGGCCAGGAACCGCCCAAAGCGACCAGTTTTGATTGACATTGGCTCGCCGCATTTCTCGCAGACCTCATCCGTCGCCTCGGCGCTGGCAAAGGTTTCGTTGGCCTTGTCCACCGCCTGGTGAAATGGGTGGTAGAAGTCGCGCAGCACCGGAACCCATTCCCGCTCGCCTTGTGCCACGTCGTCCAGGTCTTCCTCCATGCGGGCGGTGAAGTCCAGATCCATCACGTCGGTAAAGTGCTCGGTCAGCAGGTCGGTAACAGTGATACCCGTTCGCGTTGGCGATAACCGGGTTTGTTCCCGCTCCACATATCCCCGGTCGATGAGCGTGGCGATAGTTGGCGCATAGGTGCTGGGCCGACCAATCCCCTTCTCTTCCATTGCCCGCACCAACGTGGCTTCCGTGTAACGCGGTGGTGGTTGCGTGAAGTGTTGATTGGCAGCCAACTTTTCGTTGGTCAACGCGTCGCCGGTTGATAGTTGAGGCAGCGCGTTTTCCTCATTGTCGCCAGCATCGTCCCGTCCCTCCATGTAGACCGCTCGGAATCCCGCGAAGCGCAGCACCGAACCAGTGGCCCGGAAACGGAACTGTGAGTCCGACGGCGCCTGGCAACGAGCGTCAATTTGTACGGTGGTGGCTTCCAGAACGGCATCCGACATTTGGCTGGCGACCATCCGTTCCCAAATCAAGGTGTAAAGCCGCAGCTGTTCCGGGTTCAGATAGGTTGCCATGCTGCGCGGATCGCGTCGGGTGGACGTCGGCCGAATTGCTTCGTGGGCTTCCTGAGCGTTCTTGCTGCGCGTGCGATACGCCCGTGGTTTGTCGGGAATGAATTCTTTCCCGTACCGTTCTCCGATGAATTCGCGCGCTTCTCGCACGGCGGATTCGGCCACGTTGACGCTGTCGGTTCTCATGTAGGTGATTAGCCCAACCGAACCTTCCGCCCCAATGTTCAAACCTTCGTATAACTGTTGCGCCACGGCCATCGTGCGCTGGGCGGTGAATCGCAGCTTGCGGCCTGCGTCCTGCTGCATGGTGCTGGTGATGAATGGGGCCGAAGGACGCTGCCGGCGCGGTTTTTGCTCAACGCTTTCCACGGAATATTCAGCGCCGGAGAGTTCTGCCTCCAATGCCCGGGCGGCGTCCTCGTTAGCGATGGATATGCGGCGGCGCGCGCCCGTCCTTGAGTGCAACGTGGCCGTAAACGATTCCGGGGTATCTGGCAGGTCAAGGGTTTTGTGCAGGTCTGCTTCCAGAGTCCACCATTCCTCGGGTACGAAAACGGCTATCTCCCGCTCCCGGTCAACGATCATCCGCAAGGAAACCGACTGAACCCGGCGGCCGGCAGAAAGCCCGCGTTGCACACGACGCCACAACAACGGACTGATTTCATAACCCACCAGGCGGTCCAGGATCCGGCGCGCCTGCTGCGCGTTGACCAACTGCATATTGATCTCGCGAGGTTGCTGGAAGGCTTCTTCCACGGCCTGTTTGGTGATTTCGTGAAAGACCACTCGCTTCGGAACGCGGTCGCCTTCGCCCCAACCGGCAGCGTTCTGGAGATGCCACGAAATGGCCTCCCCCTCGCGGTCTGGGTCAGTCGCCAGGAAAATTTCGGTAGCTTTGAGGGCCGACTTTTTCAAATCGGTAACCAGCGTTTGTTTGTCCCTGAGCGTGACGTACTTGGGGTGAAGTCGTTGTCCGTATCCACGCCCAGCGTCGATTTCGGCAGGTCTCGGACGTGGCCCATCGACGCCGTTACCACGTAGTCTTTGCCCAGGATCTCGCCGACCGTGCGTGCTTTGGCCGGCGACTCGACGATCACCAGGCGTTTGCCGTCTGCCGATGCTACCGCACTGCGGCGGCGGGCAGCAGTAGTCTGCCCGGCTTTGCCTTTGGAGGCGGTGGACTTGGCTTTGACGGTACGGCTCGTGGTTGCGCGAGGCTTGGCGGCGGGTTTTTTGGTCCCGGTCTTGGGCGGCATCAGTTTAGATTGTCTCCAGATAAGTGCGATCTTAGTGCGATAACAGGTAGTGCATACTGCCGACTTGTTCCACTAGACCCTTCAACTCTAGCATAGTGAGCAGGCCGCTAACCTGGTTAATTGGCTGTCCGCTCAGGCGGGCCAGGTCGTCGATGTGGGTCGGTTCGGTGGTCAGATGATTCAACAATTCTGCTTCGTCGGGGTCCGCGGGCTCGGCCATCGCTGAATCGCACCACATCTGGTTAATGTTGCGTGCTTTCCCTTTCACTCCGTGCTCTGGCTTTGCGTCCAATGAATGGTCTGGGTTGGCGGCGGCAATCTGGTTATCGCTATCCATTTCAAGCTGCATTTGCTTGGGGTCATCATCCAACCCTATTTCCACCAATATATCACTAACTTCGGTTACCAGCTTGGCGCCTTCTCGGGATCAACCGATTGGTGAGCTTGCTGGAGGCCGAGTAAACACTGCCCGGCACGCAAAATATTTCCCGATTCTGTTCCAGAGCGTGATATACGGTCCAACGAGTGCCGCTGGTTTCGCTGGCTTCAGTTACCAGCGTTCCCAGTGTCATCCCGCTGATGATGCGGTTGCGACGGGGAAAGTGGGATGCTTCTGGCCGAACGCCGAGAACAAACTCGCTGACCAGGGCGCCACCCTCGGCGAGGATACGCTGAGCAAGCCGACTATTTTCGCTGGGATACACGATATCCAGACCGTTGCCCAACACCGCTACGGTGCGACCGCCGGCGTCCAACACGGAGGTATGCGCTCGGGCGTCGATGCCCAGGGCGAGGCCGCTCACCACCGTAACGTTTCTGGCAGCAAGCGCCGCGCAAAGATCGGCAGTGATGCGGCGGCCGTACTCGGTCGGTCGCCTGGTGCCCACCACCGCAATCGAAGTGTCATCTTCCGGCAACAACGTGCCCTTGACGTACAGCACGGGCGGAGCGTCTGCGGTTTCCGCGAGGCGCATCGGGTACGCCGCATCACGCCACGTCAACGCGACCACCCCACATTTCGCCAGCCTTTCGAGTTCCTGGTCGGGTTCTATAGCGTCGCGAGTCGCAACCACATTCTGGGCAACAGCTCCACCGATGCCGGCGGCTCGCAGTTCACGGGTGGATGCGGTCCACGCTTTGGCCAAGTCGCCCTCGAAGTACGTTTCCAGCAGCCGAAATCTCGCCGCACCCAGGCGCGGCACCTGACTCAGCGCAACCCAACAACCCAAATCACCAGTAGACGTTATCACGGCGCCGATTCTATCATAGGGTCAAAATAGACCACAATGTGAAAT